GACAGGTGAGGCCTCAGAGCCCAGGAGAGCAGCGAGGGTGAGGCCAGCAGCCAGAAGGGTCCCTGGAGAACCACGGCCTGGAGTCTGCAGAGAAACACGCATGGGCCATGAAGGCTGTGGCTGAAGGAGGCGCTGCCCACACGACCCAGCCAGCAAGTGGCTGGCCTGTTTTCCCCGCCTGGGACTCCCAGACGCACCTCCTTTCCCGTCCTCTCCTCTACATGAAGCCCCAGTGTTTCATCTGGCAGAAAGGTGGGGTCCCAGTGACCCCAAGAGGGGCCGGGTAACATTTTGATCATGGGTTCCGCGCCTGTGGCTCGATGGCAGGAGTCGTCACGGGGCTCACTCTGTCCTCAGTGATAGGGTTCCCTCGAGGCAGAAAATCGCCCACCCGCTTTGGAGGTAAAAGTGTTCTTGGCCGAGTAGAGGCATGAGTTGCAAACAGGGCGGGGCTCTGCCTGCACGACCCTGGACACACTGCTCCTTTAGGGGACGGCCACCGGAGAAGCCAAATTCCAGCATAGCCAGGGGTGCTTTGCATTGCCAGCCTAAGTGTGGCTCCCAAAATTCATGTGCTGACATGTGAACATGTGGAAATCTGAGGTTCTAACCCCATGACCTCGAATGTGGCCTTATTAGGAGCAGGGTGGTTGCAGATGAAATTAGACAAGGCAAGGCCATAGTGGAGCAGGGCCAGCCTGATCCAACCCCACTGTCCTTGTGAAAGGGGAGATTTGAACACACACACACACACACACACACACGAAACAACACCACATGAAACAACACCGTGGAAGGATGCAGGCAGAGATGGGGGTCTGGGGGTCCCTAACAACCATGAAACACCAAACACTGGGAGAAACCCTGGGAGCAAGGGAGAGACCTGAACAGAGACCCCTCAGAGCCTCGGTGAATGGGGAGAGGCCTGAACAGAGGCCCCCTCAGGGCCTTGCGCACTGACCCTCTGACGCCTTGGTCCTAGATGTCCAGCCCCCAGACTGCACAAGAATGCGCTCCCGTTTCTGTAGCTGACCAGTCCCGCTGCTTTCTTCCAGATCCCAAGCCGGCTGCCATTCTAGAGTTGGACAAAATGGAGCTGGAGGGGCCTCTGGCGTCGCCCACCAAGTCTCCCTGTCCCAGTGCCAGCGTGACCAGGGGCCACCTGCCTGTTGCCGCCACCCCATCCTCAGGCTGCTCCATACCCTGGCCTGGCTCGCTGTCTCTCCAGGGCACCTGCCTGACTTCCTGCAGACGCTGGGCTACAGGCAAAAGCTGTCAGACTTTATGGGGGGTTCTGAGGGGACGAAAATGAAAAACTTCCTTAGGATTTTTTAACCTATTCGAGTCATCGCAAGAAATATACCCATAAATGAGTATTTTAAGGGAAATTAAGTTCCTTACAGGCCATATTAGTCTGCTTGGGCAGCCCGAGCAAAGTACCAGACCAAGGGGCTTGGAACAGAAATCTCCCCCAGTTCTGCAGGCCACGGGTACAAACTCAGGGTGCCAGCTGGGCCGCGCTCCCTCTGCAGATGCTGGTGACACCCCTTCCTTGCCTCTTCCGGCTTCTGGGGGTGCCAGAAACCCTTGGCTTTGTTTGACTAGCAGCCACATCACTCCAGCTTCTGCTGGTCTTCACACAACCATGTTCCCTGTGGGCGGGTCCGGGTCTCCAAACTTCTCTTTCCTCCTAAGGACACTGGTCACTGTGTCTGGGGCCCACCCTAATTCCGTACAACCTCATCTGCACTGATTAAGTCTGCAAAGACCCTCTATCCAAATAAAGTCCCATGCAGATTCCAGGTCGGCATGAATCTGGGGGGCATTGTTCAGCCTCGTGCATGGGAGACACTGAGATCCGGGTGGACAGCTGCACCTGCTTTACTTTTTGTTGTTTCTATGGTTCTGAACATTGATCCAAAACTTGGCAGAGTGGAGAATTCGCAGAGGTAAACGTTCCCCTGCCAGGTGCAGCAGGTGGGTTGCCTGCTCTGTCGCAGGGCAGTGAGGAATATACTTCAGGGTGGAGGCGTCCGAGCTGGACCAAGGGACACAGATCGGCATTGAGGGGAGGGGAGGCACAGTCGCTGGCTGGGACAGGATACACAGACATGGCCATCGTTATAGAAACAGACCCCACAGGGCTCGGGATCCAGGGTCAGGCTCTACTCAGGCTCACAAGAGCTCAAACGTGAAGGCATCTCCGCTCAGGCTCAGGAAAAGTGCAAATACTCTTCCGACTGCACATCCACTCATCCAATCAGGTAAGTCAGGAAACGTTTTGTTTTGAAATTTGACAGGCCAGGTTTTACTATTAAATATTTCACAAAAAAGAGCACTTGCACAGAAATAATATAATTATGGATTTTTGCTTTTGTACTATCTGTTCAAGTTTTATAACTATAACTTTTATTGAATAATGACTTACCTAGTATACCTTCTAACAAGGTAAATTTCTACTAGGTGAGCTGCAATTGTGAGTTCAAGCTGTCACGCTTAAATCAAACATTGTAACTCACCTGTCATGTTACAAAATGCCTGGAACGGCTTCAGGGGTCCGCTGCCATCTGGGTCGATGTTGTAGAATCCTGAGGCGTGGCCGAGGTGCTTGTAGGCCTCACAGGAGGGCTCGTAAAGAGCTGGGGGTCATCCAATCATTCGCCATACACAAAATAAAATGTAACAGAACTCTCAACGTTTCAAATTAGGAGATGAGGGAGGTTCCAAGTCCTGCCTTATGGTAAATATCCACCCTCCAGGGGAAAATGTGAACATGTATTAAAATACAAAACTATTTTTGACATAATATGTGTGCTACTATACTTAACTGTAAAGAAGAGGAGTGTTGCAACTATTTTTATAGCACTTTTAAATCCCTAAAGTCAAATAAAATTACCCAGTCTGGTGGAAAGTTCTGTTCACTGTTACCTTATGTGACAAGGAAACAGGTCGAGAGCTGGGCTCAGGCGTACTCACAGGTGGGAGTGGCGTCTTTACTGTCACAGGTGACGGGATTCCGTTTGGCTGGGTCCCCCTCCTGCCGCCTCATTTTCGAGAGTGGCCTCCCCGCCTCACCTCTGAGAGCCGACTCCCTGCCTGGCCTCTGCGAGCGTCCTCCTCGCCTTGCTTCCGAGAGCAGCCTCCCCGCCTCAACTCTGAGACCTACCCTCCCCACCTCACTTCCCAGAGCTGCCTCCCCGCCTTGCCTCTGAGAGCCGCATCCCCGCCTCACTTCCGGGAGCGTCCTCCCTGCCTCACCTCCCAGAGCAGCCTCCCTGCCTCAACTCCGAGACCTACCCTCCCTGCCTCACCTCTGAGAGCCGACTCCCTGCCTCACTTCCAGGAGCGTCCTCCCTGCCTCACCTCCCAGAGCAGCCTCCCCGCCTCAACTCCGAGACCTACTCTCCCCGCCTCAACTCCGAGACCTACCCTCCCCGCCTCACTTCCCAGAGCAGCCTGCCCGCCTCACCTCCCAGAGCCGCGCTTCACCTCCCAGAGCCACCTCTCACCTCCGAGAGACGCCTCCCCGCCTCACCTCCCAGAGCTGCCTCCTCGCCTTGCCTCTGAGAGCCGCATCCCCGCCTCACTTCCGGGAGTGTCCTCCCCGCCTCACCTCCGCCTCACCTCCGCCTCACTTCCGGGAGTGTCCTCCCCGCCTCACCTCCAAGCACCGCCTCCCCGCCTTGCCTCTGCGAGCGTCCTCCTCGCCTTGCTTCCTAGAGCCGCCGCCCCGCCTCAACTCCGAGACCCACCTCCCTGCCTCACCTCCCGGAGCCGCCTCCCCGCCAGCCCCTGGGGATTGGCTTCCCCTTCACCTCTCTTTGCTCTCCTTGGAAGAGCCACAGTGAAGTCGGCTCAGTGTGAGTTCGCTTGTGGGTCACAGTTAAGAACCACTCTCTTATCTTCTGGTGGTTTTCTCAGAGTGCTTGGAATCACAGTTGCTGATAACCATTAAGAAAAATGGATGCCCCAAAGCATATTGATGGGGGCACCTGCTCTGTGGGTGATGCTACTGGGCATGACGGAGGATGACTGTGAAGAGAGGATGGTCCTTGTGCCAGCGCCTCCGCCCCGGCCAGGCAGCAAGGCTTGGGTTCCCAGGTCTGACCTCCAGCATCAAGTGAGGGGAGCTGGTCCCAGGGGCTCCCCGTGCAGGGCCCTCTGGTAAGTGTGCAGGGTGAGGGCAGGTGCAACGGTGCAACGGGGCCCCCACCATCGCCTCCCCTCCCTCCCCTGCGCTGAAGCTGCTGTGTGGACCCGCGGAGGGAAGCTGCTTATGGAGGTGACGGGTGTGGACCCCGGGGAGAGAAGCCGCTTACAGCGATGGCACGTGGCGCCCGTGTACCCAGTGCTGCTGCAGTCACAGTGGAAGGCCGTCCAGGTCTGGGAGCAGGTGCCCTCGTGCTCGCAGTAGTTGGGTAAACACCTGAAAGAAGGACAGAGATGGTCGGTGTTCACACTTGGTCACTGTGAAACGTGGGTCCTGTGGCAGGGCGAGTCCAGCTGTGGGCACAGAGTTCAAATGGCCGGGGATGTTGAGGGATGTCCTTAAGAACTTTGCTCCCAACCCTAAACCTCAAGCTAATAAACCTGCCAGGCTCAACCGACTGCCCTGTGTTTGGCTTTGAGGCAGTGGGACTTGCAATTCTTCCCTTGGTGTTGGAGAATTCTCTGTTTTTTATGTCACAATAACACAACATTGACCTTACATGTGGCCAGGAATGACAATTTCTTATAGAAAATAACAGTGGTATTTTATCATATTGAAATGTTCTGTGACATTAATTCCTAGAAGGAAGACTGGAAGGGGAGGGGAGAGAGGAGAGGAGAGGAGGGAAGGGAGGGAGGACAGGGGCCGAAGGGACAGTCAGGTACACTTCCGTCTACACATGGCGCTGGCCCGGGACTCACGGATCCTTCATTGCAGGCCTGGATGCCATTGTTATGATTCTTTTTCCATTTAGAATTTAGAATAAAAGCCAGCTACCACCAGAGTTTTATGTGCATTTTGTTTTCCCAAGAAAATTGAATAAATCTGGAAACGGAAAACCCAACGGCCATCTAAGCATGGATGGGTATTTTGCCATAGGCCTCATTAACGTTAAGATTGGGACACTTGAAATTTCACTTACAGGACTTTTGTAATTTTAGTAGATTATGGTAAAACTAATTTTCTTGAATACAAAAAAGTAAATGTTTTATTGTTATTATTCAAATAACCCAGAAAAGTACAAAAAAGAAGGTAAAAGTCATTTGAAATCCTAGCATATAAAATAACCACTATAGTTATACATGTGTTGATGCTTATATTTAAGTATATACAATATAAATGTACATGGCAATTTTGCAACCTATCAATGATTCATTAGTATGCCATGAGTATTTCTGTGTTGACAAATTTATATTAGCAATTTTGATAGTTCAAAGAAATCTATTAACATAGTTATCATCATGGACTTAAAATGTTATATATTTGAATTTAATAGAAACCAAGGGTGATAAAGAGAATTGATGAACAATTAAAATCGATAGCAAAAACACTAACACTACTGATTGATCGGATACACAAATGACGAACTGTGTGTTTTTCTAGATGTAAAAGAGATTTGAGCCTGTGAGGAGCTAAGTTCCTTGTGTGGAAACCGAAGCCTGAGTCTCTGTCTGCCAGCAAATGGGCTGTTTCCTCACTCATCTGCGTTTCCCAATCCACTGGCTCAATCCCTTGTTTGTATTTTAGGGTTGGAATGAGACTGCACTGTTGTAAAATAAAAGGAGGAAGAGTTAGCTCAAGACGGTCCCCCTGGTGCACCTGGACCTGGATAAATCGCTGCCCTGTGGCCTCCACCTCACCCAACGCCCCCCATGTCTCCACCCCAAGTCCTTCTAGCCCCTAAAGCGCTGCCTGAGACGTCCCCATCATGATTTTCATCTTGTGTGAACTTCTCCAGATAAACAAGCCACCCCTCAGAAGGTGAGGTTGTATGAAAGAACCTGACGTGCACCAATTCCCTCCCATCTCTGTCTTCATTTCCATTACAAGAACCGGAGCAGGGATTCCCGGAAGCCAGTGGGTGTCCTTCTCTGCCTGCTCACGCCTCCCCTCCGGAGTCCAGGGATGGGGAAGGGGCAGCAGCATCTTCCCAGCCCCCAACCTGGCAGCACTTTCTTTCCTCCCACCTGAGCCCCTGGGCCCGCGGCTGGGAAGGTGGTTTCAGACTGCACCCATTGTTTCTGGAAACGGGAAGGAAGGACGCGCAGCCGGTGCTGGTGGGCGTGAGTGTGCGTATGTGATGTGTCAGCGCCTGTCACACTGCGTGTTCTGCCTGTGTTTGTGTGTGTGTGTGGAGACTCCTCCCTCAGTGTGCAAGATCTGGACTATAGTGATTGATGAGTTTGTTATGACTTAAAACATGGATTCTGCACACACAGAGCGGGGCCTTCTCTTTCTGAATTAGTGAAGTGCTGGTGCCGTTTCACAGGAGGTTGTGTTCCCATCAAGTCCTGTCCTGGCAGGAACAGTTGTGGGGGGTTTTTCCCCAGTTCTGAGGGACAACGAGGGGCCGGACCGATGCATCGTCACTGGGCAGAGGCACCTGGGGCCTGCAACTCTCCTAACACAGAGAAACGAATACTTACGGGGGCTTTAATCTGAAGAAGAAAGTGTTCAGAAATCAAGGTTTTCAAATACTTGAATTGCGAATGTGTGCCAGAGGGCGCAGAGGCGGTCAGCTCAGCCAGACGTAGACAGAGGTAAATGGTGCTCAGCTCAGTCAGACGTAGACAGAGGTAAACAGGTAGACACACGGAATGGAGCCACCAGTGACGGGCAAGGCGAGGTGACAGGGACAGGGTTTGCCTCCCACTCGACACAAGCACACACAGTGGCCATGCACATGGCGTGGTCACTTGTTTTCCAGACACTGGTCATCAGGCAGGGAGGCCGTCATTCCTACAAGATGGACACCTGGCAGGCGTGCCCTCTGCTCATCCCAGGCCCCTCTGGAGTCTTCAGACTGTGAGGAAGGAAGGCAGTGGGGTCCTCGGGGAGCGTGGAGACCCCGAGTTAAGGAAGGCAGGGAGGGCAGCTCTGACAGCCAGGGAGAGCTCTACAGATCCAGAGGGGCCCCGAGAATATTCAGTGCTGGTCACTGAGTGCAGAGGGGAAGCCGCCTGGGGCCAGGGAAAGCACCGCCAGGATCAGCAGGAGCAGCAGCCTGGCTGGCACCAGGCAGGGCACCGGCTTTCACAGGAAGGAGGGCAGCCCGGCCACACAGAGCGTGGACTCAGAGCATCTGGCCTCAGCCCTGGAGAAGAGCGACCCTGAGACCAAGTGCTGCTCAGACTCACAGATCTCACAATCGAAACAGAAGAGGAATGGCTGTGTCTGGTAACAAAGCTTAAGAACACTGACAAAATGCATGTCATGTCACACAGCACCAAGTAAGGCGAACCCCAGAGCGTGGCCCTGAACACTCACAGGACGCACGTCACACGGCACCAAGTAAGGCGAACCCCAGAGCGTGGCCCTGAACACTCACAGGACGCACGTCACACGGCACCAAGTAAGGCGAACCCCAGAGCGTGGCCCTGCATCGAGCGTGTGCAGGCGGGCAAAGGAAAACCAATCAACCAAACCAGCCCCAAATGTAGATGCTGCTCTCATAGACAGGGAATTTGTTCTCATATGTTCGGAAATTAAGTAGAGACATGGAAGTTATTAAAAAGCACCAACTAGAGATGATATTACAAGTCTAACATGAAAACAACACTGAGTGGCTTTAAGATTAGATATTGCCATAAAGATGAGTGAACACAGAAAAATAAAAAGAAATCATCTGAAGGAGACAGGGAAGATAATTTTAAAAGCAAAAACAAAGCATTTGTGGGCTGTAGGACAACTCCGGGTGGTCAGTTCTACATGTCATTAAGTTCCTAAAGATGGGAAAGAGGGAAGAAGAAAAAAATAGAATAAATAATGACAGAAAATTCCCCGAATCTGAAAAAATTAGAAACACACAGATCCAAGAATCCTAATGTCCCACAAGCACAACATATAAATAAAGCTACCCTAAGGTACCTCATAATCAGATTGCTTAAAATCAGTTAGAAAGACAGAGATCTTACATGCATCTGTAGAAAATGGCACATTTTGTCCAGTGGAACTCAGGCAAGGCTAATGGAAGATTACCTGTGGGCGGCTGCCATTAAAATGAGGAGGGAAACCCTCTTAGGACTTTATGCCCCATGAGAATATATTTCAAAACCAAAGGTGTAGGAAAGATGTCACCAGGCACAAAAATGCTGAATGAATTCATTCTCAACAGCCCTGAAAAGTGAATGTTAGAAGAAGTTCTGGAGATGGATGGAAACGGACACCAGACGGTCATACTCATCTACACAAAGCACCCGGGGGCAGCAGGGGGACTGACGTGTGTGTGAGTGTGTGTTGTTATGTAAAATGTTTTATAAGAGACTTGACTGTTTAAGCAAAAGTAAAAACGTGTGAGGACTGACAATGTAAGCGAAATAAAACATAGCAATGATGCACGCAGGCCAGGGAGGAGTGAGAAGACAGGTCTGTGGTTCTTCAGCTGCGCTGGAAGTGCCGTAATCTCCTTAAATTATCTGCAGATTCAACAAAATCCTAAGCAGACTCTCAGAAGAATCATCTAAAGGAATTTACAAGCTACTTCTAAACTTCATGTAAAAGTGGAAAGGCCTAAAGTAACTAAAGTGATTTTGAAAAAACAAAGAGTAAAACAACCTGATTTTAAATATTATCATTCAGAAATCATAATTCCTAAAATGTGGTATTGGCATAAAGTTGGAAAAATAAAGGAGCTAAATGCAGAGCCCAGCTATGGACCCAGATGTGTTTATGGACAAATGGATTTCACGAAGGTACACAGGCGGTGAAACGGGGAGAGGACAGGCTTTTCATCCAGTGGCGCTGGATATTTGCGTGCAAAGCAGAACAAAACGAAACAAACAAAACTCTGCATAGCTTGCTCCATCTATAAAATAATCCAAAATTAATCACAGACCTAAATGAAATCTAAACCACAAATCTCTAGAATTAGACATAGCAGAAAATCTTTGTGACCTCACGTTAATCAAAGATGTCTTAAGAATAATCCATAAAAGAAAAAAAAATAACTTGGACTTCATCAAAATTAAGAACTTGTGCTCTTCAAAAGATACTTTGTTAAGAGAATAAAAAAACAAAAGGAAGACTGGAAGAAAACATTTGCAAAGCATGTAAAGAGCTTCTATCCAGAATATCACAAAGGACTCTCAACACTCACTAAGAAAACAAGGGATCCAATTCAAACAAATGTGCACAAGGTTTGAGTAGACATTTCTCTAGAGCAGGTGCTCAGATGGCAGGTGAGCCCATGACAAGGCCATTCGCGCCATTCGTCACCAGGTACACACAGGTGGAAGCCAGGGCGACAGACCGCCGCACACCTGCTGAGTGGCAGAAATTGTAGATGGACCGGACCACGTGCTGGCAAGCATGCAGGAAAACGAATTCTCACACACTGCTGGTGGGAACGTGAGAGTCGCAGTCGCTTTAGAAAAGTGTAGCAGCTTCTCAAAAAACATTCAGCAGCCTCTCCATAGTTTTCAGCTATTTCCTTACCAATGTTTACCCAAGGTCAATGGACCCATTTCTACAGAGATGCTTGCCCTGGAATGCTCACAGCTGCTTTGTGTGCAATAAGGCCGAAGGGGGCAGATCACCTGAGGTCGGGAGTTTGAGACCAGCCTGACCACCATGGAGAAACCCCAACTCTACTAAAAATACAAAATTATCCAGGTGTGGTGGCGTGTGCCCGTAATCCCAGCTACTTGGGAGGCTGAGGTAGGAAAATTGCTTGAACCTGGGAGGTGGAGGTTGTGGTGAGCTGAGATCACGCCCTTGCACCCCAGCCTGGGCAACAAGAGCAAAACTCCATCTCGAAGAAGGAAAAAAAAAAAGGAAAGAAAAATTGGAAACAATCAAAATGTTCATCAATGTGGAAATGGAGAGAGACAGTGTCCTCACACACAACGGCAGGGCTGTGTGGCTAATGTGTGGGCTTCCTTCATTATCTCCCAGAGCACACAAGGATAAGACATGCTTTTAAATGTTAAAGACAAAACCTATCGAGACAGAACCCGGTCCAGGGTTACTACCATACATAACTGTATCTGTCGTGCAAAATGCTACTTCTGCTTTGTATTACTTCCTTAAATCTCAACCTGAAGTTGGATTTTAAAAACTAAATTCACATCCATGATCTTTGTTTAAAGTTCACAAATATCCGAGTATTTTATGTGTGGTACTATAATGACAAATTTGTCCATGCAGTGTTTAAAATCTACTTTACTTAAATGAGTCTCACATCAAACTGGATTAAACAGATTCTGTATGAAGAACTGTCATCGTGTGAGGATATTTTCACACAGAGGTGGGTGGGTGAATTGCCAAGTTACTAAAAGAGCTTCCCATGAGCTGAACGTCGGTGGGCACAGCAAAGCCCAGGCTCCCAGCACTGCCTGCGGGTCAAGACACAGGGAGGTCCCCCGGCCCTGCCAGGCCTGTTCACTGCGAGGCCCTCCCACCGCCAGGGAGCAAGATGGGGAAGCCCCATCCTCAGCAGGTCTGTGCCCCGGAACTGCGGGGCTGTGACTGACACGTGAGGCCACAGTTTTTACACCCAAATGCCACTTAATCAAAACCTCAAAGTTCAGGTTTACTGGCTAAATTCTTCTTACACAAATTTTTTTATCAGAGAATTTTCCACTTAAAATCAGTGTAATGTGGACATATGGGGAACTGCCTCTGAGTTTAAAAAGTGGCGGGAAGCCATTTAAGTGGTGGGAATTGTGTTTTCTTTATTGTCAAAGATGATTTGTAAATGGTAATACGTTTGGTGAAACACAGCACTGGGTTCCAATGATTTTTTAAACGAGGACTAGGGGATTCGGTACACCTGAAGAGAGATTTAAAAGTATTTGAAAGCTTTTTCTGACCGAATTCCTTGCCCAGGTGAAAAAGGAGGGTTTTCAAACTGCAATGTTTATTCAAAAACATATCACCACTTACAACAGGAAGGGCATGGGTCCAGCCGTCCTGTCTGCCCACGTGATTCCGGTTCAGAGCCTGATCGTCTCTGCCACCCTTCAGCTTTCCCAACACTTCCCCGTGTTTCTCCCTCCAGAGGCTCCTCTTCAAGGACCCACGGACGCCTGCGGCGCCCTCCACAGTATCCCAGAGCCGTGCCTTCCACCCAGCACCGTCACCTGAAACAAGCTACTGCGTGCAATTGTCGACACTGTCTTCCTGACTTTTCACGGGGAACAGCCCTCTCGCTTCCTGTGATGCGGGCTGGGGAGAAAAATCGTTTCCCTTGTGGATGTCCACTCCGAGCCCTTCCAGGTGGGGGAGAAAAATCGTTTCCCTTGTGGACGTCCACTCCGAGCCCTTCCAGGTGGGGGAGAGAAACCGTTTCCCCTGTGGACGTCCACTCCGAGCCCTTCCAGGTGGGGGAGACACCGTTTCCCCTGTGGACGTCCACTCTGAGCCCCTGCAGGTGGGCTGCCCTCACACTCTGAGCCCTTCGCTGCCCTCACCTGTCCAGGATGCCGCAGGTGTCAATCAGAAGGTCGCTGAAGTTCCCCACAGCGCCTTGCTGCACCGAGATCAGATCCACCTCCTGGCCGTCGATGGAGATGAGCCGCAGACACCCCTGGAATCCGCCCAGTGGTCCCAGCGATCGGCTGCAGTCAGAGCCAGAGCCGTGAGCGGGGCACCCTGAGTTTCAGAGGCACAGGAGGCAAGAGGAAGAGGGTAATGGGTGGACACAGTGTCGGGGTGTGGGCGGCCGGTTGCACTCCCCCTGACGCCAGGCTGCCTTCCATCTGCGGGCGGGGCTGCCTGCTCATCGGGAAGAGGGAGGATGAAAGGTCAGCAGAGCATAAAATAACCCTGGAGGCAAGAATGTAAGAAGATGAGAAACCCTGTGAATTTAAAATTCACCCTGAACTCAATGCCCTTTCTTAAAGTATACTAGAAATTTAACTCTTTTTACCATGACAGATCTTAAGGGAAAAACCTAAATGCACATGAATTTACAATTAGAAACGAAATAACAGGTCTTATTATTGTACATACAAACAGCTAAAATGTTAGAGTCTGGAGAATATCAGGCCAGAAGGTGACTGGGCACCCCCACTGAGGCTGGTGTGCCGACCACACACCACGGCAGCCTCGCCCGTCAGCTCAGGGTCCCAAAGACTTGCTTCAGCAGAAAAAGAAAAACTTACACGTGTTTTTCTAACAACCATTTTTCTTTTGGGTGAGTTGGTCAAACATATAATCAAAAATTAAATTTCAACATGACATCTTAATACCATCAAAAAGTAACAGTCATGCAATAGCAGATACCTCATCCAAATGTGTGGTGAAAGAAGGAAGCGTGCATTTGATTCTCTGAGTTAGGTCAGCATCGTTTTCCCAACCACAGCCCTGGACCCCAGGAAGCAGCTCCCGAGCCTCACCTCTGCCCGGCCGCCTGGGACCCCTGCGTCCAGCTTCCTGAGGTCTGTCCTACCCCCTCCCTCCCTGCCCCCAGCCTTGCCAAGGAGAAGGAGCCGCTGCCAGAGGGGAGCCTGCAGCCACAGGCCAGGGTGAGTGGCTCAACATGGCGGCCACTGGGGTCCCCGCGCGGGGAGCACGACACCCCAAGTCGGTCAGGGGGTTTCCTAATCAACACCAAATGCAGAGAGGCCCGGTCCCATGCATTTCAGCATTCATGTGGTTTCATGCCTGTGACGGTTACTACTGAGTGTCCCCTTGGTTGGACTGAAGGATGTGAAGTACTGATGGGTGCGTCTGTGAGGGTGCTGCCGAAGGAGACCCATATTCGAGTCAGTGGCTGGGGAAGGCAGATCCACCCTTAATCTTGTGGGCACCACCTAATCAGCTGCCAGCAAATATAAAGCAGGCAGGAAAACATGAAAGAGATACGGCCTAACCTCCCCGCCCACATCTATCTCCCGTGCTGGACTCTTCCTGCCCTCGAACATCGGACTCCAGGTTCTTCAGCCTTGGCACTAGGACTGGCTCTCCTTGCTCCGCAGCCTGCACATGGCCTATTGTGGGACCTTGTGATCGTGTGAGTTCATGCTTCATAAACCCCCTTTCGCTAGTTCTGTTCCGTTCCTCTAGAGAACCCTAATCCAATGCCAAACATTCTTGAGAGAATCTGGTTTTCAGACCTTAGCTCTTCTACCTCACAAAATAATGACTCATTAACCTCTAGCACCAGAGCATGATTTTCCCCCTAATTACAGATAAAAAGTACTTGATAATTGTTTTAAATTTAGAAAAGCTTCCACTTATTTAAACATGAGAAAGTACTATACCATATTCCTATGTAAAACGTAGGTTTATGGTCATTAGATGCTCTCTGCTTAACTGAAATAAGTCATTTTGGGAAGCATGGAGTTCACCCACCAAATGTAAGGGTCTTTTTTTAAGAACTCCCTTGTGGCCCTCTGTTAATTATCAGTTGTAAATGTCTAAGAACTGAGGATAAGGGAGTAAGAATCACGCTGCATCTTAATTCTTGCCCCAGTCATACTGGTTTTCCATGAAAAATTACATGCTAAGTTTTCCTCTGTGTTTGAATAATAGTCATAACTATTCAACACTTTCTCTCCCAATAATTTACATTCATATGACAGATGAGCTCATGCATGCCTCGCCTCTCTCCAGTCATTGTAAAGCACATTACTATGCTTTATATCAGCCTCATGGAAATTTGAGATTTGAAATTAAAAATGAGGTCACAGGAACCTGGGTAGACTCTGAGGCCTTCCCTTGGTCATTTTCTCACTTTAGGGGTGAAACCCGAAGTTCAAGCGGTTCGGCATCCACCGAAGCTTGGGCATAATAGATTTGGCTTCTCTCTACGGACGGGGTCTATTTTACCTTTTCACGATGGGTTGAGCTCCCTTATCAAAAATGCTTGGGGCCCAAAATGCTTCAGATTTGGGATATTTTCAGATTTTGGAATATTTGCATTACACTTACCAGATGAGCACCTCAAACCTGAAAATCCAAGATGCAAATTGCCCCCATGCTGGCCGGGCGCGGTGGCTCACGCCTGTAATCCCAGCACTTTGGGAGGCCAAGGTGGGTGGATCACTTGAGGCCAGGAGTTCGAAACCAGCCTGGCCAACATGGCGTAACCTGTCACTTCTAAAAATACAAAAATCAGCCAGGCATGGTGGCGGGTCCCTGCAATCCCAGCTATTCAGACGCTGAGGCAGGAGAATCACTTGAACCTGGAAGGTGGAGGTTGCAGTGAGCCGAGATTGTGCCACTGCACTCCAGCCTGGGCGACAGAGTGAGGCTCCATCTAAAAAAAAAATGCTCCCATGAGCATTTCTTTTGAGCATGATGTTGGCACTCAAAACGTTTTGAGTTTTGCAGCATTTTGAATTTTGGGGTTTTGGATGTGGGGTGCTCCATCTGCTTTTACCGACCGGGGCTGGAAGGACAGTCACGCCGTAAAAACCTGGAGTAACCTTCAGATTCCAGAACAGTAACGGCACTGAGCATCTCCCTTTTTCTTAAAACATGTTCTCTCAACTCTTTCCGAACAAACTCAGTTCTGAAACTTTGAACAAAAGTGGCGATGGCGGTCACAGGGAATGGCCGTGTGGCTTCACGGAGAAACGCGTGTGCAGCTGGCTGACGGCTGCACCAAGAGGGAGCGAGGAGAGCCAGGAAGGGGTCGGCTCCACCCGCCCTCCACAGACACGAGAGCCCCCAGCACCGAGATGCGCGGCAGAGGCATCCGGCCTGGAGCCCCCTGCGGAAGCGCCGAGATGTGACGATTCCTGGGGAAAGCCTAATCCTGGCTCCTCAGGGAGGCCGCAGGTTCTGCAGCTCCGAGGGGGTGAGCCGACCTGTGACCTGGTGTCTGCACCAGGAATTCTGACCCGGGACACTCAGAGAGCTCAGAGGGCAGCCCACAGACCAGGTGCCACCTGCCCAACGCCAGCACAGCGTGAAGCCGATGGCTCTGGCACCCACCAGGGTTTACGGGGATTTGCCATCTGCACCCTCTGCTCAGGGTCTGATGGAATAAACATGGAAAGTTGCCCCAGAACGCAGTGGAGCTGCCTGAAGCTCACTTCACGAGGAAAGGAAGGGGAGGTGACCAGTAAGCCAGTGACGGCCCCATGTGCGCGTGACAGGGCAGCACTGCTGTGTTCCTACCTGGACCACCTGCGGCCTAAGGAGCCCAACTGAGTAGCTGGAGGCCAGCGCGGACCCCCGACGTGTGGCAGTCACACTCAGGGCCGGCCACACATGCCTCCCGCCGCAGCGTTCCTGACCGCCGTCCTGACTCGAGGGCAGTGCTGGAACTCTCGGTCAGGGCTGTGCCGCAGGAGAGGCAAGGGGAAGGACACCAGGAGGGTCTCAGAATGTGGCGTATGCGGTATGAAAAGACTCGGGCGGCAAGCCCTGAAAATACGACCTGGCAAACGAGATCCTGGTGGTGAGGGGCTCTCAGTTGTTAAATGTAAATTACACTCAGTAGAGCTGCTTGGGAAAAAAGTGAAGTTCTTTATATTTGCTGAACTGCTGGAGAATTAGCCACATATGATACAGCAAAAGCAATAAAAACAATCCCAGCCACCACATGCAAGGTGGGGAAGAGGAACACAAGGAGCCTGTGCATTCTCAGCCCCTTCACTCACCTCCAAAGTGGTAGGCATCGCCCGGGTGGACCCCCACAGGTACTGTGGTGTGGACGGTGGAGGCCACGTCATCGTCCACCATCACGCTCAGGTGGCCCCACGTGGATGTCACTGAGACAGAATGCCATTGCCCGTCATTTAATCCAACACCTGCGGAAACCAAACCAGGTAAGACACAGCCATAAACCACAAACCTTGTAATTAGTTAGTTTGCTTATTTAATTAATTAATTAATTTAGAAACAGAGTCTCATGATCTCAGCTCACTGCATCCTCCACCTCCTGGGTTCAAGCGATTTCACCTGCCTCAGCCTCCCGAGTAGCTGGGATTACAGGCGCCCACCACCATGCCTTATTAATTTTTGTATTTTTAGTAGATATGGCGTTTCACCATGTTGACCAGACTGGTCTCAAAATCCTGACCTCAAGTGATTTGCCTGCTTCAGCCTCCCAAAGTGCTGAGACCACAGGCATGAGCCACCATGCCCAGTGTAACTATTTTTAAAAAGTGATACAAATCAGTGACTGCAACAAGCCCAGAAATCCGAACAAGGAGAGTGGGGGGAGCCCAGCCCGTCCTCTTCCCCCACAGGGCACATTCTGCCCCATCCCTAATGTCTGACATGCCCCTCACTTTGAGTAGGGGGAGATCAGCCCATCCTCTTCCCCCCCAGGGCACATTCTGCACCATCCCTAACGTCCGACATCCCCCTCACCTGGCCCAGGACACCTTCCTGCTCCCACTCATGCAATTTGACTTTTGGGGAGGCACATAGAAATATCAAACTCTCTTCAAACTTCAGCATACATTTTAAAAAGCCTTATGTGATTTTTCTCCTATTTCACAAACTTCAGGTAAGGACCCCGAATCTCCGTAGTAGCTACTGTGGTAGCTGAACCACCACGCGGTTGTGCTCTGTAAGGCAGAAGGTCAGTCCGTGTGGCATGTCTAAGCACAGAGACCAGGCCCGTCTCTCCTCACGCATCTGAAACAGCCACAAATCCCTCGCCTGGACAGAAAGGGACTGATGCCTCTAGACCACTCATGTCAGCGCACAGCTCCACTGGGAGGCTGCTAATACTGAACCTCAGCCAGGAGCACGGCTACGGGGAGGCGTGGGGTCCCTGGAAGGTGGGGTTGCACCAGGGGTCAGGGAGGTGGAGGAGGCTGAGGAGGCTCGGGGCTGGGGGTCCTCAGTGCCTGACCTGGGGGACCTGGCTGTGGCGTTGCTGGTTCTGGGCAAGATGGGCTTTCTTGTGTTTTCCACTCTCCCTGTCCTATGCTGACATGGCAGGGGCTGCAGCGAGGGTGCACGGCTGGGTGGGCTGGGTTGGCGGAGGAGGGCACAGCTCCACGGGAAGCTGGGACTCCTTAGGGTCACCAGATTCCCAGCCTGTCAGACGAGGCCAGACATCTGGGTTTCATTGCTGAATATCTTGATTTTAAAATGTTGGCTGTTGTTTTAAAATATTATTAAAAAAGAGAAAAAGCTCTGTCCAACAAACACATACCTGAGGGCAGCCGCCGCCCGGGACTGGCAGTGTTGGGAGCCCTGAAGGCAGAGGCAGAGCCAACCAGAAAAGACATCCGGTTAGGCATTTATTCATTCAGTACAATCTCAATCGTGACTCGCTCTTCAATTGTGGGTTATTCCTTAGGATCCCATCACCTTTCAAATGACTTTCAGTTTGATATTCACACGGGGAGTAAAGATTGAAAAGCATTTCATGGCATGCATAATTATATTTGACCCCTAATTGGTTGAAATAATATTTTTAAA